TTCATGTTTGTCAAATAAAGGATGGTTGAAATTCTTTGAGCCTTTATAACGCACCTGTTTTCCCAGACAGCAAACTGACATTGAATCAACGTGGAAACGACGTCTCTCATGACATTGAAACAACGTTGATTTTGCTCATCGAATTAACGTTGAACCAACGTCAGACGCGGCATTCTTCAAAGCTAAATGAAAATCGAAAATTGGTTTGCTTTCATAACGTTGAAACAACGCGTTGATTTCAAGTTGATTTTCTGTTAGTTTTGAAAGAATGACGCGTCTGACGTTGGTTCAACGTTAATTCGATGAGAAAACAATGTCAGATCAACGTTGTTTCGATGTCATATTTCCACGTTGATTCAATGTCAGTTTGCTATCTGGGTTGTCTGCTAGATGTGGATTTGAGCAGCAAATCTTGCACCACATTTCAGTGCGCTCGTCGTTCGCTTCAAGCCACGGCACATCTTTGAGCCACTTTGAGCCACCAAGTATTTTTTTCAGCTCTGGCTCCAGTTGGCGTTTCTTTGAAGGTGGCGAAATGCCAAAAAAGCTGCTTAACGTCTGTTGTTTTTTGGACATCTCTGGCAGTAGTTAGTTGACAAACAACAAGTCGTGGGTAAAGTTAGATGAGAAGATTAAGTACGCAAAAACACGGAGTAACACAAGTCGCATTACGCATTTCTAATTATTGTTGCGCATGCGTACCTGCGTACCAGTTATGTGCACCCGTGAACAATGTGTTCTGTATCATAGCTACATGAATGACCTTAGCAGCAAAAAAAAAAAAAAAACACATGAAAATCAGTTCAGTATTCAGTGAGATATAATTAATTTAATGCGCTGACAGCTCATTTCACCTGCCATTCAGATTACACTGAGCGGAGCGGATAACCGGTTTAAGATGGCGGCTCCAATTCTCGTCCGTGCCAATAGGCAGTAGCGATATGAGTAACCTATATGATGTCTATGGGGGCAACACCTTCAGAACTTTACAGAAGCGCAACTAAAAATTCCAGAAATAGCGAAAGAGAGATAGCGCAGCACAGTATTTTATATTTTAGTGTTACTCTTTTTGTTACTTTTTTTTTTTTGGAAGATATGAAGAAGGAAGAGAAATGAAAGGGTTTCTATATCGGGAGATACTAAATAACAATGCTAGCCAGCTTTATGTAGAGAAACTGCTTGTCAATAAACTGACAGCAGCAACAGCAAGCAAAACATGATTTAAAAAGGAACACATTTCAGCACAGTTGGTGTAAAGTTCACCGTATAGCTCTGCACTACATTGCCCAGAATCCTCTTTGGCGCACCTGCAGTCACTCATTACATCGACAAGAAGAGTCTCCATTAGGCTACATATCCAGAAATGTCCCTTTGTCTTCCATGGAAAGTAAACTGAAGGATTTGCACATGAAGGTGAGTTGTTAAATGACAGCAGAATTATCATTTTTTGGAAGAACTAGTCCTTTAATATGCATTTCAAGGCTGAGAGTATGCATCGTCTCCAGAGCCAACATTTCTTCCACAAAATAACATCTAAAGCGCATATGACGAAGACAATATCTTTATGAACTTCAGAAAAAAATATTCATTAGATTTAGGTAGGTATTAACTAACAGACAGACAGACATTTATGTTCAAAATAACTCCAAATCTAATAACTTACCATGATAAAGTGCATTTAAACAGATCCAACAAATAAAAAGAAGAAAAAACATTCTCTGTCGATATCTGTTTGTATGTTGGCCACTGAGAGCAGGGTATAATAGAAATATAATTAACCACAAACCAGCAATATGAGACTTCAAGTCCTTTAAATGAATGATATTCTCTTCTCTCTTCTTTTGGTATAGAATAAAATACCAGTTCAGGGTTCCTCTTTCGGCTGTTGTTGCAGCCAACTGCACAACATATTGCAGGCATTATTGAGACCGTCGGTCGGTCGCAAAGATGGCGGCGCAAAGCTAGAGTGATTAAAATGTAAAGATTTGATTGATTATAAAACTACTCAAATTGTTTTTAAAGCACATAATAACCAATTGCCTAGAAATATCCAAGAGCTTTTTCAACTGAGAGAAAACATGTACAATTTCAGAGGAATATCAATGTTTAGTAGGCTAAACCATTAATTCGAACAAATAAGTTCCACTGTATACCAACTCAGGGTGTAATCCTGTGGAACAACAACAGAAATAATCATTTAAAGTTACGCAAAAACGTATTTTAATTTAAATTTCTATTTCTTTTTTAAAAAAAAGAATCCTAGATGGATATGAGCTGGAACAGTGATTTTCTTTATTTGTTGATTTTTAGTTAATTTGAATATCTAAGTGATGCAAACAATTTAAGTAGAAAAAAAATATGACTGAAGTGGTAGGACAAGAAAAGTTATACTACACTGACCTCTTCCTAACCCCTTTGAACATGACTATTATTTGGATCATCTGCTGATGATCTTTTTTTGTTGATTTTTTTTTCTTCTTATTATTTTTTTACATGTTCAATAAAGAAAAGAAAAGAAAAGAAAAAGAAAAAAAGAGCTGTGATTTCTGAAATTGAACTTTCACAGGCTGAAACGGATGATGACAGACAACTGGCCAAAGAGTCTTCTGTGTTTCACTTCCAAATTAAGGATGATATGGACGTTTTTCTAAAGTGTCTTGAGTCTCAGAATTTATTGCATGTTTATGGAGATTTGATTTATTTTAGTTTTCAACTTAAATGCCTGTATCTCTGAATTGCAAACTATCTCTGACTCTGTAGTTTGTCCACAATCACACGTTTTATCAATCAATGACTGATTCATTGATTCGTTCACTTCTCTCTGAACTGAATTGAAGGATTAAAGGAGTACTATTTCACTTTTGAAAAAACTTTTGCTGATAATTTACTCACCCCTATGTTATCCAAGATGCCCATGTCTTTCTTTCTTCAGTCGAAAAGAAATTAAGGTTTTTGATGAAAACATTCCAGGATTTTCTTCATATAATGGACTTCAATGGGAACCAAACGGTTCAAGGTCCAAAAGACAGTTTCAGTGCAGCTTCAAGGGGGTTTAAACGACACCAGATGATGAATACGGGTCTTATCTAGCGAAATGACCAGTCATTTAAAAAATAAATTAAAAAGTTTAAGTTTTATAAGCTTATAAGCCTTGCTCTGTTCTGTGATGAGTGTTCGTGACTCTCCTGTTCAAATGCTTTCATCAAAATGAACAAATCTTTTTTCGAGTCATGACTCGAAGGGTCCTAGATAAGACCCTTATTCATCGTCTGGTGCCGTTTAAAGCCCTTTGAAGCTGCACTGAAACTCTCATTTGGACCTTGAACCGTTTGGTTCCCAATGAAGTCCATTATATGGAGAAAATCCTGGAATGTTTTTATCAAAAATCTTAATTTCTTTTCGACTGAAGAATGAAAGACTGTCCAGTCACCCCCATGTCATCTTGGATGACATGGGGGTGAGTAAATTATCAGCAAAAGTTTTTTTAAAAGTGAACTACTCCTTTAATAGTTTAACGGTGCTGGAAATGTAGAACTCATTTCTGATAATAACACTGCTTTTACAAAGATAAATTATTTGTTTGTCATTTTTAGAGTTAAATTTAAAGAAAGAATTTGAACTGATCTCTCAAAACATTCTGGGAACAATTAACCTAACAGCGTAACTATCATAATTTCACACATCCTTTTTAAAGTTTAGTTAATTTTGCTATATTAAACCATATTAAACCACGTATTGAACTTTAAACTATATGTTATAATATATATGAACAATGTGCAAACAAGTTTCAAATAATTGTCAAGATGATGTCACAATCAATTCACAATCTATTCTATTTTCTGTTCTAACTGAGCTTGTTTCTGCCATTGGTTTGCATTATTTATGCTTGTGGATTTAAATATGTGCACATATATGTTGTTCTTAGTTTAAAAAAATATTTTATTTATTTCTATTTATAAACGGTTAGTTCCAATTCTTGATTTTGATTGGTCAATCTGCTTTATTCACAACAAAACACGGCTATGATCGCTTCACCCAACGATTTTGTGCAACACCCATGGCAAACACCCGTATCAACAACATAAACATAAAGAAAAAAACATAAGAATTAAAAGGCTGAGCCCCAACTAAAGAGAAGCACGTCGAATATCACCACAGTGGAGCCGATTTAAATGAGACAAATAATTGCATGCACAATAAACAAATTCAAATAGGCTACATTTAATTAAACAACAATAAAAAAATGTATCTTGTTAGGAAGCATCCCTGCTGGAAAAAAAACAGCATAGACCAGCACAGTTTCCATGCTGGTTTATGCTGGTCTATGCTGGTTTTTCCAGCAGGGATTCTAGCATCTAAATTAATAATAAATAGATTAAAGACCTATCAAAATAAATATGTGCTCGTGTTGTATTTATTTAGTAGGCCTAAGGTTTATTTATAAGTGCAGAGAGAAAATAACGGAATAGACGAAAAATTTACGTTTTCTCATGCTTTTCTCAAAAGCTATTTGTGTGAGGAAATATCCATATATCACATATTGTGTTGGTTGGTTTCCGCCAGTAGAGGCGCTCGAGCCTCCAGCAAGCGAAGCAATGACACACATCCGAGTCTAGGGGAAGAAGAGAAGTGAGCGAGGGAAGGGAACATAAACATGAGAAGTGGAACACAGCCGTTCATTATGCTCTAAATCAGCTGTTTTCAGACAGTGAGTACATATCTTTTATCATTTATTAGGAGAAATCTAAACCCAAACGACTAACTGTTAAACGAGTCAGTTCATTTAGTGAACCACTCAGAAATGAATCGAAATTAACCGAGTGATGTTGTTCATTATGCTCGTAAAACGTAAAATCGTTACTGTTTTTTCTCATGACAGTTTGTGGAAATTGAGTTGTTTTCATTTAATAAAAAACAGCTTTAGGAACTGTATTGATTCTAAACAATGAGAGTTATTCATGTGAGTTTAAATACTGGGGAATATTCCCATCTTCCCACAGGAGAAGAAGAAGCAAGCAGGAGGAATTACTCCAGGAGAAACTACAGACATACTATTGTAAAGATGGAGATTAAGGAAGAACCCTGCAGAATAAAAGATGAAGATACAGAGGAACAAATAGGTTGGTGTTTTCCTTCATTCTCTTTAATGTCATGACATGTCCCCACCAGTGGCGGTTCTAGACAAATTTTACTAGGGGGGCCAAGGAGGGGCCAGTGTTTAACCAGAGGGGCACATAAAAAAATTGCAACAAATGATATTCAAAGATTATAAACTTTATTTTACTTTGAAATCATATAAACATTTATTTTGTACAAGAGTCAGTGGAGGTGCAAAATGAAAAATACAGTCCAGGGTGTCAATTCAATGTGAACAAAACTCCAGGGTACAATAATGAGCCATTTTCTTATTTACGGAAGCCCCACTACTGTGGACAGTTGAGTCCACACTTTAGGATTTTAATTGGCACAACAATGGTGGATCAATTGAATTTGAAAAAATATATAGATGCACTACACTACAGCGAGATATATCCAGCTGCAGACCCGCAGCACCACCAGTTTCAGAACCCCAGTTTCAGAACCCCAGTGCCAGAACCGGAAGTGAAGGATGAGCGGAATTATTATTATTGCATTATAATTATTTTAGCAAGCATGCAGTTCCTCATTTGATACATTGTAAGTTAAATTTAAACAAAATTGTTGTGATAAAACAGGCCTAGCTTGGGTTGAATTGGTCCTTTTGTATAGATTGTTAACAAAATAATGCCGAATTTTCTCTTTTTTTAGATTTTGACATTATTTTACACGAAAAATGCATGCTGCACATGTTCTTGTGAAATAAAGTATATTTTATAAAAAATACCCATGCTTTTTTTATTTATTTTTTATTAAACAATCAAAATCATCTTACAAATACATCTTCAATATCAAAACAATTTAAGATTTTTGTAAACACAATAAAGAAATAAAGAAATAAATAGAACATAAAATATCACAGAGGTCTAATGAGTTATCAGATTGTGTATAATTTTGAAAACCTCCAATGATTGTCTTGTTTTATATCTTTCAAAGCTTTATTATACAAAGTTAACTCCTTCATAAAAACCAAAAAACAAAGGTCTTATCTTCCTAAATCTACACGTATGTATAAACTGCTTAGCTAAAATTATTAAACTGTTATACATTAAAATAGAGTCTGGTTTAACCAGGCTACATTAAAATTCCCATAAGTTTCAAGTATTATTTTTTTCACCATCATCATGATCAGGAAGTAACTCGTAATACAATGAAACGAATAACTGAAACTGTATACAATTATTTTACACAAAATCAATGTTTTAAAATGCTTATTGTACAGTAATGTATAGCATCATAACATACGTAGAGAGTAGGACGTTTCTTGTTCAATAAAAGCTTAGTTTCATGTGTAAAATACCCTCCAAATTACGTTAGGTGGCGTTATTAGGTTTCAAATCTAAGCTCTGCCCCTCAATTACGTTCCTGGCGCTGGTGTTGGTTAGAATCTAACGCCGCCCCTCACTTCCGGTTCTGGCGCTGGGGTTCTGAAACTGGTGGTGCTGCGGGTCTGCAGCTGGATACTATAGACTACAGCAACAGGATACAGCGGTTGTGCTGTCTGGAAAAACATTCCATAAATGCATCAAGATCCAGAGCCTTGGCCCTTCTGGACTCTATGCTCAGGACACCAAGATCACTGAGTCTCTCATCAGTAGTGGTGGACCGCAGGAAAGTTTAGATCAATTTCAGTGTGGAGAAACTGCATTCGCAAGAGGCTGAGCTTACAGGAAGGGTTACAGCAATCTTGCAAAGTCTAAAGAGCTCAAAGAAAACTTCCCGGTATGGCTCAATAAAACAAACCAGCTCAACTGTACTGCATGGCTTTTTAACTTCACCACTTTGTATTTTTCTGTCCAAAACTCTCTTAAATTGATGGAGCTCATGCCCTAAATCATCAATGTCTGCATTATGCAAACGGCCAAATGAAAAAACATCGCTCTCCTTTAAAAAGGCGTCACTCTGGGGGCTGAGAGACTGTATGCTTCTCATGAGCTCACAGTTGGTATTGGAGAAACGGCTGTTCAACTCATTGAGCATGCTGTCATTTACAGGATAGAAAAATGACGTGCAAAACATGTCTTTGTCACGTTCTTCCTCCTTCTGACCAACAGTACTTAGTGTGGAGTAGCCACTGAGTCTAGAGCTCAGCATTTTTTGACGTTTCGCCACTGACGTTGTTGCTGAATCACACTGCTCACAAATATTCGATGCTTCATCCCATAACTTATCAAAGAAAGAGTCCTGCCTGTGGTCTTTCAATGTTTGGACTAAAGCGTTTACCAAGTCAACAGCTCTTGACAGATCAACAGTTTCTGACTGTAACATGTCAGACAGTAGCTTTGTCTCCCCAAACAACTTACACAGAGTAACAACAAGATGCACAACAAATTCTAGGTCAATTTGAGCCAGAAGACCACGGACCTCAACAGTTTTTTCACCATGACGTTCTTGGGCAATCTCTTGCAGTAGTCGTTTAAGGGCAGGTAGAGTGTCCATAATATTACGTAAAGCAAGAAATCGGCATACCCAACGTGTGTCGCTTAAACGTTTGCAGCTCTCTTGTTCTGCCATACATTTCTCTTTGGATAGATTGCCATTTTGGGTGCACATATGAGGCAGAGGTAAAAATATAAAGACTCTGTAACAAAGAAAAAACTCCTGGGACACTTGACAACATCAACTAACACTAAATTGAGACAATGTGCACCACAATGGATGTAGAAGGCAAATTTAGCCTGTTCTTTGATCCTTGCCTGAACCCCTGAATGCTTACCGCTAATAACGGCAGCACCATCGTATGCTTAGCCTACAAGGTTATTTTTGTAGTTCAGGCCATAACGTTTAGGTTATAAAGATTCAAAATGGAGAAAACTCTCCTTAATGGCCCCATTGTAATAGTACCTGAGTGTAAAAGAAATATGTTCCCTTTTTGAAACATCCTTTGATTCATCTGCCATGATCAGTGTTGGGAGTAACGCATTACAAAAGTAATACATTACAGTAACATTTTACTTTTTGCTTTAATGCAGTAGTGTAAGGCATTACTAATCAATTTTCAGTAATATTTTACTCGTTACATGTTCAGTGAGGCTTGTATTACAGTTGTATTACAGTGAGGCTTGACATTTAGTTTTAATTGTAAAAAAAAAAAAATACAGCAAGATCGTGAGACATTAACGAATGGAAAATGCAAGTAGGCTAAGTTACCTGTTCGTGGTCAGTCAATAGCCACGTGTGGTGTCCAAGTTTGTAAATAAAGGCTGATATATCTGTATAGCGATTTATTTTCTACAGGAGTGCGGTGAGGCATGATTTCGGCCTCTGTGCTCACGCTGGCCAGTGGAAAAGTTTTTCATTTTGAATTGTTCTGTTTACAAGTATAGACATTTCAGTATAGATATATTTTTCAGGTCTGTGGAGTAGGCTATACTTATACGCTGAGTTTCGGTATAGCCTATTGGCTATTTATGAGATGCGCACCAGCACGCCCCCGCGCCTTATCTAATATTGTCAGCTTTTACTTCTTAAAGGCAACAGACTGTGTGAAAATTTTAAAGCAGTCTTTTAGTGCCAGTTCAGAGCGGTCGCATCTGAAACATTGTTTTTTCCTCTAAAATAAAATGAATATTTTAAGTTCTATGGAGACTGGAGAGCCAACCCTTCCTCATCCGATTTGCGCAGTGTAATTAACAGAATTACAAAAAATATATTTTGCCTCCTATTTTTTTTGTCACGCATGAATGTGTGTCTTTTCCCTAATATTAAAAGTAAAACATAGACTGATATTTGTCTAATGTCTGGAGTCCTTTAAGGAAGTAGCCTATATAGCCTACGTTTCAATACATTATGTATTTTCTGAGAATTTTTATTTCAAGTTTTGACTGCAAATGTCATGATCATAATGCTAGACTTCCCCAATTTTAAATAATTTATCCTCAACTAGTTTTGTGGTGTAGGTCTACGTATTTTATAATGTTAACTTCAAATAATACTAATAGCCTAATTTAAAGATAAGGTAGCATTGGATCTGGACGGTATAAGGAGAATAACGCTGGGAGTTGGAAGAGGTGTGTCGCGATTCTGTAGGTTCGTGGATCTGAGTGTGGCGAATTGCGAGGTTTCATATTGCATATCGTTAGAAGCCCCAAAGTTAAGTTCTACTTCTGTAGTTATTTTGGTGAAAGTAACTCTAAAGTAATACATGAGTAATGTAACGCATTACAATTCTGAGACAGTAATATTGTAAGGTAATGAATTACTTTTAAATAACTGTAACAAGTAATACCTAATGTATTACAGTTTGGAAGTAACTTGCACAACACTGGCCATGATGCTAAACACCTCAATGTTCTTCACTTCTTCTAAGATTTCAGACCGAACCATTTCTGCCAAACAACCCAAAACCTCATTCTGGATGATCTTGCTTGTGTACTTTGCATTGTGAATGGAAGTTAATCTTCTCTTAACAAGTGGGTCATGGTTAGCAACTGTTTTAAGAATTTCCCTAAAGTTTCCTTTGTTATTGGACGCTTCAGATTCATCATGTCCTCTTTGTGCTATATTTTGTGTAGCTGTAAGAAACAGGACTTCCCCAACTGTTTTAATGTATGCCCGATTTTCTTGTACTTGTTTAGTATGTTCTTTGTCAAGAAGATCTGCTAGTGTTGCATCAGTTTTAACAGCTCTTTCATAATCCCTCCATGCCACCATTGCACACTTGTGTCGTTCAGACTTTGCATGTACTGAAAACCCTGCATCTCTCATAGTTGCTTTTTTCCAGTTTCTAAAACCAGGTGTTGAAACAAAAACAGTGTCAGGGGCATTTGGTGTGCTAAAATGTCTACATGCATAGCAAAATGTAGAGTCCATCATGACAGAATACTCAAGCCATGAATGAAGATTATACCAGTTTGGCCTGAAGCTCTGTCTTCTGTCCCCCATCAAAGTGGTTGGGAATATATTCAAGTTGGGCTGTACTGGTACATTGTTCTTGGACTTGCTGATGTCTGTAGAAAGATGTAGAGTAAACATAGGGCACAACTACAGCATTTATTTACATATGCATGTACAGGTGAAACTCGAAAAATTAGAATATCCTGCAAAAGTTATAATTTTGATGATTATGACTTACAGCTTATGAAAACCCCAAATTCAAAATCTCAGAAAATTAGAATATTACATGAAATCAATAAAAAAAGGATTTTTAAAACAGAAATGTCAGCCTTCTGAAAAGTATAATCATGCATATGTATATAGTTATATATACTAAATATATTAGTAAAAAAATAGAAGTTCATGTGTGTATCTGCATGTATTTCAAAAGGTAGGGCAAGTATGTAGGCTACATAAAAAAAAGAAACAGAGATTTTTTTATTATTTAAACCAAACCAAAAAATTATTTACAGAAGAAAGCACAATTTTAAGGACACATGTAGGATGAAATTATAATTGCACTGCTTTGCAAGTAAGAACCTTCATCACAAACCTGATGGTGCAGTACTTGATCCACATGGATCAACTTTCTGTCCCTCTGGCTGTTCCTCTCTGTGTCCCTGTATGTTTTCTTCCTTCTCACCCTCTTCTTCATCCTTCTCACCCTCTTCTTCATCCTTCTCACCCTCTAGAATGTCAGAGCCCTCACTTTCATCACATGCCCTCTCTCCAACCTCCACTGACTTCTCTGGCACTCCCTCTTCCTGCTCCTCAACTCTCTCAATACCTTGATTTGTTTCTCTTACTTTTTTGTTTACTGGGGCAAAAAAGGACGCTATGTCCCTTCCTCGTTTCATGACAACTATTAGAAGAAAAAAAAGTAGAGGCATGTATTACACTGACGAGACACTTAAATCACTTACAAGATTAACTCGAGTCTTGCAACAGGAGAAATCGTATAGCTCCTCTTTCCAAGAGAAGTCGCTGAGCTCCGACTCACAGGACTCGCAGTGTTTGGGTGCGCCACTCTAATTTAACCGTGTAGAACGTTGCGTCACATTAGTTCCGCTTTTGGCGCTCGTGTGTAAAATCATAATAAAATAACGTTATTATTTTTTTATTTGGTCGCCACAGGGGTGACCAGGGACATGTCTACAGAGGCACGGGCCTCCCTAGGCCCCCGTGTAGAACCGCCACTGGTCCCCACCACTTTCTACCACTTTTAGTGGTTACAACCATATACGACCAATTAAACCCAAGTATAATCACATTTTTGGTCGGACATCACATCTTTGTATATATTTTATTTATTTACATCAGTAAGCTACAGAACACATTTTTAAAACATAACCAACTCGAAAGAGAAAAAAGAATGAATGCGTCATTGTACCCAGCACTTTTGAGAATGCCCTTCCGAATGCGTCTCTGTCCCCAGCACATTTCATGCCAAACTGACGCCCAAGTGTCAATAGATACCGAACAAGAGATACCAAGTGTGTCTGCGTGAGAGACCGAGTGTGTCTGCGTGCGAGAGAGACTGAGTGAAAGTGCCCGTGAGAGACCGAGGCTGCGTTCCAGTCCACGTTTAGACACGCACTTGCGAACTTCCAAGCACTTAGCCTCGGGGGAATCCCTGCCACCATTTTGAAGTGCGTTCCACTTCGGGGAAGTTTATATGGACAGACACTCGTTCCCTCGATTTAGACCGAGGGAGCGAGTCTACTTCATGTGTACACTTCAGTCATCTATATGTCCCACTATGCAGTACGATTGTGACGTAACCACAGATCGTCTAATCATCACCACAAAAAACACTCTATGATATATTAATTATAATTTATAAATATAATAATTTAAAATAACCCAAACACATCTATATACATATGGATGCCGCATTAAACAAATTCTTAAAGGGAAAAAAGTAAATAATTCAGCTAGTTCATCCAGTTCAGCTCATTGCGGTTTTTCATAAACTTCACCTTTATTGTCAGCCGCGCTCTCCTCTGTCCTCGAACGAGCGGTTCACTTCCTGATTCTATGAAACCACTCCCTCAGAAACAGGCAGTGGGCTCAGATTGGTTAGTTTGGCCCGGTGTGTTGTGATTGGCTAAACTGTTGCTCACGTTGTCCGGAAGATTAACGCCCATTACCTTTATGGGTGAAACGTGCATGTCATGAGCTCCGGTCCAGATGTAAGTGTCGAACTGCAGTATCAGTTTGAGGCAGAAACAGACCGAGAAAGCCACGATGAAGAGAGTCAAACAGACCCTCACTACACACGGCTCTTACTAAACGTTTCTGAATGATAATTTGCTACATTTTTTTAACTAAATACACGTTTGTTTTACACAATAGCATCTGACTGGCAACAATAGCAACTGACTGGCTACTAATGTTAAACACAAACAGCGTTGGCAAGTTAACATTTTTGATCAAATCGAAAATAGCGTCATAAAGCATATATACATGAAAAATACATTTACAACATTAGTACTTATACAAAATTCAGGTCCATAATGTTTGCACGCGTTTGTCGTAGACACAAAATAGCATAACTAGTAGCCTAGTGGCTAGGGGTTTCACAACTACTGATTTTTGCTAGTCGACTAGTTTTGCATAACAGTCGACGACCAGTCAACTAGTCGTTAAATGGTTTATTCTAGGGGTGTGCGATATCACGAATAGTAAATGTCTCCATGATCTGCTTTTGAAGAAATATCGTTGTATCATGTTACAGTGCATTCTATCAGTTCAGTTCTGGCGCCTCTGTTAATGAATAGGTACGGGACGCTGCAATTCACAAAAGTTCATTATTTGCATAAGCCTTGCCGGGTAAACATTAATTCACGCGCTGTTCTAACGTGCGCTTTCCTGAGCGCGCGGCATACCCCCTACGCTCAAAGGCACTGGAAGCCTGTCAAACAGCGCCTGAATACTTGACTAAGTTATCTTTCGAGTCTTATTATGCTAATACTGTTAAATACACACAATGTTTACATAAACAGAATAGGCTATGTCTGAAGTGAAAGCAAACATTTGAGAGAAAATCTGGTGTAATATGCGTCTATATTAAACACGTCGCGTGCTGGTCTAAAAGCGACAATAGTAGCCTACCCGTATTTTCCGCACTATAAGGCGCACTTAAAAGCCTTTAATTTTCTTAAAAAAATATTATAATCCGGAGCGCCTTATTTTCTCAAAAAACGATTATAATTATAATCCGGAGCGCCTTATATATGGATCAATTGCTCACGCTCGTGTCCATCTTATGCCCGCTTTGTCACATGGCCAGTTCAACCTCGTATAAATCAGGTTATGTGTGTAAGTCATGCCCGCTCACTCTTAACAGACACACGAACAAGACACACTGTCCCCCGTGCTGCTCGCGCGTCACAGAATGTTCATAAAGCGCTCCCCGTTCACAGTAACTGGGTCGTCTCATTGAAAACAGCCAGCTGTTGCTGTCAACGAGCCGCTGCACATTGAATACTCACATGAGTCAGGCTGCGATTGTAAGTTACGTAGGTGTCCGCCCCATAGGTCCGCCCCAGCTCGCTCACGCTTACTAAATAACCGCCGCGCACTCGCTACATTCCCTTTAGCACATCTAGTGGATGCATAGCGCAAACCCAGTCAAACGTTTGAAAAATGTTCTAAAATAGGTCATTCATTGAAAGTGCGCCTTATAGTGCAGAAAATACGGTAGTACTGCCGCTTGTACTTAAAGGGATAGTTCACAAATATGTCATCATTTTGTTCGACTAGTCGACTAGTTGATGAAACCCCTACTAGTGGTGGCTATGAAGCCAGCGTTGGCATTTGAAAAAAATAAAACACAAGGCTACGTCTGGAATTATACATGCAAATACATTTAAAATGATGAAGTCTTAGCCTACTTAAAGGTTGTGGCCCAACAACTGCGGCCTCTGGTTTTAAAGTTGGAACTCCTTCATGTTTTAGTAACAGTTTCTTGTTGAATTCGTGGAGATTCTGGAAGTTGTCTTCCGTAAAATGCAAAGCACAGAGAGCTAGATTACGATCGACATTTTCAGGAACATAATCAAACATAAATTGTATCCATTGTTGACGAAGTACAGCGTCTGTGGGAAGCTCGAACACACAGCTGACAGCTGTGACCTGGGGAGGGTTGATGCAAATGTGTGGGTTAGTGACGTCTAAAACCCAGCTGTAATTCCAATTGAGTCGTTTTTGTAGGCAATATTCTTTCTGATTTTAAAAAAAAGATGATATCTCTGCTTACACTGAACTTTCAGTGCTGCAACTTTACAGATACTGTTCATACACCAACAGCAACATTACACACTATTTAAAATGAAAAAAGTGAAATCGCAATCAACCCCCCCTTTAAACTTAAAAGACATGATTTTTTTGTTGAAGATTTTTTTATGAAGTTTGTTGTTTTAATATATTGTGTACTGATGTCACAAATATATCATGGAATTGTCTTTAAACGACTATTTGAGCAAAACATTTGCACCTGAATAATCTTGAGTGATTGTAAGTGTGATGATCATCTGCTAAATGAGCAACAACGACCACAATTCACTCGTGGTCATTCATTCGTTCTTGGCTGCGCTGTGATTGGTCAATCTATATTCTAGGGCGTGGCTTAGCCAAAGGTGAATTCACTCCTTCAGTCAGTGAAGCTCCCACAGCCGTTCATGAGAGTTTAAATGCTGGGGAATATTCCCATCTTCCCACAGGAGAAGAAGAAGCAAGCAGGTGCAACTACAGACATACTATTGTAAAGATGGAGATTAAGGAAGAACCCTGCAGAATAAAAGTTGAAGATACAGAGGAACAAATAGGTTGGTGTTTTCCTTCATTCTCTTTCATCACTGATGAGGAACATTAAGATGCCAACTGACATATCACTTTGTTTTTGCTCTTCTGATGGTTTTCAGCTGTCTCCTTCTGCAAGTTTTATATTTGTATGGTGTATAGCGATATGACACAGCACCCAAAATACTATTATTAAGGACTGATGAGGAACATTTTAGATGAAAACTGAAAAAAGGAGTAAATGTTTTGCTTAGTTACAACTCGCATAGTTTAATTATTGTTCTTATTTTTTCCATCTTTATTTTAATTTTGAAAATTTGGTGTTGATTTTAGACCCGATGGAAGTGAATAAAGACAAACAACATCAGTTTCAAAAACCTCAGCATTTCAAAAGTGAAGATGGAAACACAGTCATTCAACTGACCGAAAAGTGTTTCACACAAAAACAAGCTCGAAAAACTGGAGAAGGATGTTTCACCTGCTCTGAGTGTGGAAAGACTTGCACACAAAAATCAGACCTTGAGAAACACATGAGAATTCACACTGGAGAAAAACCGTTCACTTGCACACAGTGTGGAAAGAGTTTCACTCAGAAAAGCTATCTCAAAGATCACCTACGCATTCACTCTGGAGTGAGATCATTCAGCTGTGATCAGTGTGAGAAAACATTTGTTTATTCAACAAACCTAAGACAACACCTTAAAGTTCATTCTGGTGTGAAGTCTCACTTCTGTTCTTTTTGTGGAAAGAGTTTTTCACGACTACAGACTTTAAAAGTACATGAGCGTATTCATACTGATGCGAGACCTTATGTGTGCTCTGACTGTGGGAAGAGCTTTATTACATCCGGCCACTTACAATCACACCGGAGAGTTCACACTGGAGAGAAACCGTACAAGTGTTCACACTGTGGAAAGAGATTTGCTCATTTAGGAAACCTGAAAGTTCATGAGAGAGTTCATACTGGAGAGAAGCCGTACCAGTGCTCTTCATGTGGGAAGGGATTCGCCGAATCATCTAATCTACGGTCTCATGAGAAAAAGCATTGCCTGAAGTCGTCTAAGTGAGCAAAGTTCACGTTCATGTCCATGATTTACAAATATTGTACTTAGAAATAAATTGACATTCAGACTGTTTTAATAGAGTGCTTAAATCTAAGGGTTAAATTAGTAGTGAAGTTTGAATCTGGTTTGGTGTTTCCCTTCTCTTTTCTCAGCCACTGTAACATGATGTATAGTAAAATGATTCAACTTTACTGAACATCTAACACTTAATGTCCATTAAAAGATTTCTAACGTTTTTCTGGTGTACTGGTGAGATGTTGATGATTATTATTATTTATTGATTTATTTATTTGTCTATCCGGGTTAAGTCACATCGCAAAATGTTTTTTGGTTTAAATATGTTTTGTAGTGATGTCATCAGATCATGAAATAAAATAACTAATCATAAAACAGCCTTACGGTGTTGTGTTAGGCTGTAAATACATCAAATCTGTTCTGAAGATCAATAGATCTTATTCAGAGCAGTGCTGTGACGGGTATGAAAGCGAGGCTGTGAGGAAAAGACTTGCTGTGTTATCAATGGCATCTGCTGTAAAAAGCTGAATAAAGCTCTGACCTTTCTGGAAGTTTTGTGACTATTGAAACTTCTAAAAGAGGTTTTGCAATGTTTCATCAGCAGAAATATCTAAAACACATTAAATAACAGTATAACACACTGAACCTTTCAAAGCTTAGTTTCGTTCCTGTTAAAAATCAGAGATGGCGCTGCTGTGAATGAGGTCAAGATACAGTGCTGCAGGGATCATGTATAAGCTAAACCGTAAGTTACTGCAACATCTCCACTTATAAACTTTGACAACTCTTTCAGTCTTCATTTACAAACATTTTCCCTGTAAGTTTGTGTCAGAATTGCAAAGTGTGATTATAAACAGAACAAGGCTGTGAAACTGCTTGGACTCTGAACGGCATAATCGGCAACGACCGTTAATGGGAAACTTTGGCTGCATTTTTCTACATTGGAAGAAGCAGAGACGCACTGTCCGCCTTTTTAGATTTTTTGATTTGTGAAAGTAACTAGTTATAGTTTACCTGTCGGATGTAATGTTTCGATATCCACTGACAACCTCTGTAGTCCCATTTCCAGGGATGGATCTACATGGGGGCAAGGTTTAGGTGCAAGAGTAAGAGCACTCTTCCCTTTGATTAGCCTAATTCTGATTTTAGTAAAGACAAGAACAGCTTAATAAAACATATAAGATATTGTTTGTATCCATAACATTTTGCCGTTACGCTAATGTTACGTTACAACACACAATGCAGTTCCAGTTAGGAGATCAATAATTTGATTAGCTAAGCAGTGCTATAAATGCAATTCACCTTTGGCTAAGCCCCGCCCCCCTTAGTTACTGTTGCTACATCCGTCAAACTTCATCTGCGCTCTGCATGGCTTATGCTGTAACAGATCTTCCTGCTAAAACGTTATCAAACTTTTATAAAGCAGCAAATAAAGTGTCCGATAGAAGTAGGCAAAAGGGGCTGCAATATGCGTTAGAAGGCTTTATACCATGGTCTGGGTGAATACTCGATTCTGATTGGCTGCAGGGTGTCCGTTAAAAAGTGATAGAGGACACCTAGTAAAGTAGTTCTGGTGAAACTGCCTGTTTACCATTCGAAATTAATAAATAAATGCGCTGCCTACAACGGCTGTGAGTAACCATAGCAACAGGCAGTCACATGCTCTATCATCTAACGTTAGATATTATAGCCTAATACAACAATGAGCGACTTCGTGCTATTTCTTTTAACATTTATGGAGAATATGGCAACTTTGACGACTGGTATGCTGCTGAAGAAAGAAAAAATGTAAATAAAACGGAGAAAATTACACCGCTGCTGCTCTGCTCCATTGAACTCTATTGGTAACGACGTAACTTGCGACCATAGTTGGATAACGATGCTTTCGGGAAACGCACCCCTCAATGAGACCCTGCGGGAGTTTTACGCAGCTGTTCAGACAACCAAGGCAGGAGAAGGCTGAACGTTACAGCGTTTCAAGCCTAAGGAGCCTGAGGCAAATGACCCTCTCTTTGATCTGATTAATTTATTGCCCTCTATAACGTTAAGCGCAAATCGCTGGAGCTCAGAGCTAATTGTTTTTTTTTATTGTTGTTTGATTAATTGTTTTATGTGTAATAAAAAAAAAAACTATTCCTACCTTTGTGTTTCATGAAAAAAAAAAATGCATTTGTGAACCTGAAGGGATACGAGCTAAGCGGACTATAGGCTAAATATCTCCGGTTGCTAAATAAACAGTCAGACAAGGCAAGTTATTATTTGTAAAAACTAGATTTAGCCTAATTAAAATATAAACTAATGTTTTAAAAATGTTTTATTTGGCAAGTGACCATGGTATAAGCGGGTTAATGCCCTCCGAGGTGTCCATTGTCAGGTTTTAATGGACTTCGGCGGAGGCAACCGTCCTCCGCTGCGCGTCGGCCGGTTTACGCCTCGCCGTCGTCCATTAAAACCTGACAATGGACACCTCGTCGGGCATTAACCCTTACATATTCAAGTCATACAGGTGAAACGCAAGAAACAACAAGGCATCCAAAATAGAGGCAAAAGCATAACGTTAAAGTTACCGGTCACAGTCAAAAAATGAACCACCGCATTTCCTACTAATGGAGACGGAGGCTGGGACTAACAATATCAGGGAGCAACACTGTTCATGCAAAGCTGGGTAGGTCTCTCTTCACTTCTATAATTGTTATTACAATGCAAACGGACTACACGAGTACTGTATAACGTTGTATTTATTAGCAGCGTGTGCTAGCGTATCAACAACCGGTATGAGAACCGAAATCATAACCTAAAACATTATAAAATGGTCTAACTAGTATAACTTCACACTCACAGTAAGGTTAGAAGTAAAAAAGATGTGCTTGTTGATCTTTGCGGGGTTTAGCTGACTGAGGACGTCCATACAGTTTAATCCAAACACGACACTTGTCACTGTCAGGATTTTACTTTGGTTTTGGGAAGGGAAAAAACGGACACCCCCCTCCAACCTCTCTGGGAAACGCGTATCTGTGTTGCAAATGCCCGAAGCACAACGTTTAACCATATTTTGGATAAAACTTCGACGGTAATAGCCTGCCGAGACCAAAAATATGAGACGCCTGTGTTGAAAGTCAATGGAGCGCAGTAAAAAACTGTCGGACCTCTATGGGAGCTCGTTCTTGGCTGCGCTGTGATTGGTCAATCTATATTCTAGGGCGTGGCTTAGCCAAAGGTGAATTCACTCCTTCAGTCAGTGAAGCTCCCACAGCCGTTCATGAGAGTTTAAATGCTGGGGAATATTCCCATCTTCCCACAGGAGAAGAAGAAGCAAGCAGGTGCAACTACGAACATACTATTGGTAAGATGGAGATTAAGGAAGAACCCTGCAGAATAAAAGATGAAGAGACAGAGGAACAAATAGGTTGGTGTTTTCCTTCATTCTCTTTAATGACTGATGAGAAACATTAAGATGAAAACTGAAAAAAGGACTAAATGTTGTGCTTAATTGTGATTCACCTAGTTTATTTGTTCTAATTTCTTCTTTATTTGCATATTGAAAATTTGATATGTTGATTTTAGACCCGATGGAAGTGAATAAAGACAAACAGCATCCGTTTCAAAAACCTCAGCATTTCAAAAGTGAAGATGGAAGCACAGTCATTCAACTGACCGAAAAGTGTTTCACACAAAAACAAGCTCGAAAAACTGGAGAAGGATCTTTCACCTGCTCTGAGTGTGGAAAGACCTGCACACAAAAATCAGGCCTTGAGAAACACATGAGAATTCACACTGGAGAAAAACCGTTCACTTGCACTCAGTGTGGAAAGACTTTCACTCAGAACAGTAATCTCAGAGATCATCTGCGCCGTCACTCTGGAGTGAGATCATTCAGCTGTGATCAGTGTGAGAAAACATTTGTTGTGGAATCAAACTTAAAACAACACCTTAAAGTTCATACTGGTGTGAGACCATATGTGTGCTTTGACTGTGGGAAGACATTCACTGGATCCAGTGCCTTAAAATTACACCAGAGAATTCATACTGGAGAGAAACCGTACAAGTGTTCACATTGTGGAATGAGATTCTCTCAGTTGGGACACCTGAAATCTCATGAGAGAGTTCATACTGGTGAGAAACCTTATATGTGCTTTGACTGTGGGAAGAGATTCACTACACAACGCCGCTTAAAAACACACAAGAGTTTTCATACTGGAGAGAAGCCGTACAAGTGCTCACACTGTGGGAAGAGTTTCTCCCGATTATGTAGTCAACGATCTCATGAGAAACAGCATTGCCTGAAGTTGTCTAAGTGAGCAAAGTTCACAAACACATCCATGATTTACAAATATTGTACTTGCAAATAAATTGACGTTCAGATTGTTTTAACCCTTTCACACGTAAGTTTAAAATATTCTAACTGGCCCCCCAGTGTAAGTTCTTCAATGCGACCGTTATTTCCATGGTGACTCGTCATTGCTTGTCACGTGACACAGCGCAACCACAACACAGCGCTAATGAGTGATGATCTGCTTTTGTCATTTTTCCTTTTTTATTAAAAATATTCACAAATGTATTAGCTAAAGCATGAAACACTGAAATTCCGATTGTCAAATATGTGCAAGTGGATGGGGTTTGTTGCTAAACATCTTTATAACGAACGCGTTAGTTGAGCTGTATGCACAATGGGCGACGGCATTTTAGTTTGTTTTACAGTTCAGAGAATCGGATCTGTTGGATTTACAACACATAAATTCCTCCACTTTTCACGAAATACATGAAAGTAAGTGGCCGGTGAACTGGGAGAAGAATAGGGTCAAATGTAAAGCTACTTACACAATGTGTATCTGATATGAATAAAACGTGTCATCTTATTACAAAAGAAAGGATTATTATTGCTGCTTCCATAGACATCATTGTGTATTTTACAAACTCAAAATCATTGTTTTGATAGTACTTATGTGTATTTAAATGTCTGAAACCTAAAATAAACATTATGTGTGTCATTAGTAGTGAAGTTTGAATCTGGCAGAGAGTAAGTACTAGAGACAGTACTAGGGACCAAGACTTGAGTAATGGCTCGTTTCCACTGAGCGGTGCGGTACAGTTCGGTACGGTACGCAATTATTTGCATTTCCACTGTCAAAAGTTGTGAATGGTACAGAAAAGCCGAACCGTCGCATACCACTTTTTGGGTACCCTTCCGTTGGGGTACCTAGCACAGTAAGCCAGCAGACTGCTCTCGCATGGCCTGTCACCGACATTATTTGACGGCTCTCCAGTCCAGCATCGGAGAGTCGACCTACAGCATACCAGTCGTCAAAGTTGCCATATTCTCCATAAATGTTAAAAGAAATAACGAAGACGCTCATTGTTGTATTAGGCTATAGTATCTAACGTTACATGTTTGTTTTGATAGAGCGTTTGACTGCCTGTTGCTATGGTTACTCACAGCTGTTGTAGGCAGCGTTTTTTTTTATAAATTTCTAATGGTAAACAGGCAGTTTCACCAGAACTACTTTACTAGGTGTCCTCTATCACTTTTTAACGGACACCCTGCAGCCAATCAGAATCGAGTATTCACCCAGACCATGGTATAAAAATACATACCGTACATACATGCAATGAATATAATCAATAGGCTATGCGTTGCCTGAACAACATTTGTGTGCTTATAATGTTTAAAATGTATTTAAATGAAATCGAAAAAAGAAAATTTCATTTTGTTGCCTAAATTTACATACAGAGATAACCGGAGTAACAGCTCAAGCTGAGTGCATTCGAGAACGCGCTGTTCCATTAGCAGAATCACTGGACTCGCGTCCTCGGGAGTCATTCTCCTGAGTCGGACTTTGTGTAAGCGATTTGGTATTGAGAAACACCTATTGCCAGCGCTTGTTTCTTGTGACAAAACATGCCGAGAAAGATCTGCTGTATGTCATCCATTGTTGTTTACTATGTCGCTTTCTTCGCCCGAAAATGACGTTGATCGCTTATTTCTGGAAAACACCACGACTATCAAGTAAGGGTACTGTTGGCTGTGGAAACTCAAGCCGGATTATGGTTTACCACCCCGACCCGTACTGTACTGTACCACACCGTCACCGTACCATACCATACCACTCAGTGGAAATGAGCCATAAATGTACTAGTGCTCTATCAAAAAAGTGACTTGAGTAGAAGTTGAAGTGCTCTTTAAGCACCACACTTAAGTGGAAGTACTAAAGTATTCAACATTATTTGTACTCGAGTATTGCAAGTAGTTTATTTTTTAATTATTGAAATAAAAGGTGTTGTTCCTATTAAAATTGAAACTTCTCTCTGGCTGAATTGTATGCGTTCCTGTGTGTCCTTAATTGTATCCATAACATTGTAATTAAGCTGTGTAAAATCATTCTCTGAGAGAAATTCCCAGGGTGGCGTGGTCAATGTTTTTGGGGTAGGTTCCACCTAGACTATAACCTCCTCTGTTTTGTCTGCTCTCGTGCCTCCACAAGCCAGAAAAGAAGTCGTCTTCATCGCATGAGCTGGACCTGTTGACCTCACCGGACTGCAACGAGGGGTCTTCAGTGCGTTGTTTGATATAGTCCATTTCTGAAATATAAGAGTGTGTTATAAACAATTACAATAGTTTCAACCCATCATGACTACCACAGATTTGACATGATGGCATTGTCAGTAAGAGATTTCCATAACACGAGAGTAGATGTTAAAACTTCATGCTGATTTGTACTCTGCTTTCGCCAAGACTAAGAGGTAGCTTTACAGTAACCTTTGCTTCCTCATCCATTTACGCTTCTTTCCATAGGGTGATGTGAATCTCCTTCTGTCCGGTGTTAACGGTTGCAATGTACTTGGCGCGTCAACACACACAATGTGATCACACAACTACAATGTGATCTCAAGTGGGCACCTTTCGTCCTCGGTATTTCATCGACTAGTCCACGACAGCTCAAAAGGGCTCGACAGTGACTCTGGCATCCCAGAGGAAATAATGGCTCGTTTCCACTGAGTGGTACGGTACGGTAGAGTTCGGTACAGTTCGGTGCGCAATTATTTGCGTTTCCACTGTCAAAAGTTGTGAATGGTACAAAAAAGCCGAACCGTACCATACCACTTTTTGGGTACCCTTCTGTTGGGGTACCTAGCACAGTGAAAGGGTACTAAAAGGTGGAGCTAGACTCACTGCAGAATGCTGATTGGTGGACAGAGTATCGGCACTCGCGCGTGCTACAAGGGCATTAGAAGCATACAGTTGAAATATAATACTACTGTTATTGTGTCACGAAATGTAGTTTTAAGAGTTTTTCAGACGAGAAAGTAGTTTTTTAAAGCTCAAATCTGTGATTTATTTATAGATTTATGATAATTTGAAGATTCATTCCAAGCAATCACCGGACGCTCGTGCTCGTGTCCCCCGCCTGGAACAGCCTCTCCTCAGCTAGTCGTTCTGATGTTTGCCACTGACTCTGACGTCTCTGTAGTGGTTGAACATGAGATATAGTTCGTCTTGTATAAACCTAACTGGCGATCTTTGGTCTCGTGAATCTATAATTCGTTCCCTGGCCAATAGTTTTGGAAGAAGGCTACGTGAAGTTTCATATCTTTGAGCGCTAAATTTGTATATTTGACTGACTGAATTGTTTCTTTACGTTCTTAAAGCTTTAGTGTATATATTTTTGTACATTTTACTTATACTTGGCTATGGCTATCATTGATAAAACTGAAATTCAACAAAAAGAGATAGTTTTATCATTTTTTCATTTTTTTTATAAGATCATCTGTAATGTTGTTTATTGCAACATTTGTACCAATGCGATATGCAATACATTACATATTACCTGGAATGTGCTTAATATTTTTAAATTTAAACGAAAAGAGGCAGGGTTTTGTTTTATATTTAGTTTTGTTATAAATATAACGTTACATGCAGTGAATATAGTGAATAGGCTATGCGTTGCCTGAACCACATTTGTGTGCTTATAATGTTTAAAATGTATTGAAATGAAATCGAAAAGAAGCAGAGTGGTGTTTTATAACATTTCTTTTTATTGTTGCCTAAAATATATAACCGGAGTTGCAGCGCAAGCTGAGTGGTGCGTTTAAGAACGCGCTGTTCCATTAGTGCAGTCTTGCGTCCTGATCTGCTGCATGTCATCCATTGTTGTTTACTATGTTGCTTTCTTCACGCGAAAATGACTTTGATCGCTTCTTTCCGGCAAACACCACGCCTATCAAATATGGGTACTGTTGGCGGCGGAAACGCAAGCCGGATCATGGTTTACCGACCCGACCCGTACTGTACTGTACCGTACCGTACTGTACCCCTCAGTGGAAACGAGCCATTAGAAAACTGGTCCTACTCTCTTCCATTGACCAAAGGTCTTGCCAGGCCATCTTGCATTGTTCCACACTCTCCCATCT